TTTATCTCTTCTTTTAATTGGTTTCATGGGATCCAATAAGATTTTATCTTGCCACATTGCAGGGCAATCCCACACGTTATCATACGTCAGTGAATTAATTCACTTCACCTGATCTATAATTTGAGTAAACATAAGCATCAAACTTTCAACGATCTTCTAAAGAAGCAGCTAAAGAACGTAATCTACCTATTGTGCCTGCCCTGCAGAGTTAATACTCAGCCAGATCATGAGCCAAACATTTACAAAATTGAGTGCCTAATCAGCAAATAGACAAATTAATAGAATTACAATCCTCACTATCTGGTTTTCCTTTTCTTTTCTAATCATGGTCATTATAGTTATCATGCAGAAAGACAATGTCCTATTTATATCTTAACTAAAGCCAAGTTAATTAAAGAAAAAAAAAACATTAAGTTATATATGAGAATAACAAGTTTCTAAAAAGAACAATAAATATAAGATGAAATTCCACTCCAAACATCAGAATTGTAGATTAGAAGCACCTTTTAGGCCATCTATAGCACTTGCTTCATTTTCCTGCACGTGAACCTAAATGAAATGTTAAAAAATAAGATGCTGCCAAAATAGTGAGGTAAAAATAAGAGCTGAGTAGGAGAGAGCTCGAGTGGACAGTCCTGGCAATAATAAACAATATTGGCAAATTTTATCTTACTTGGTAAAACTTTGCATGCTCATTGCCCTTCTCTCTAAAGACAATATCAAGGATATCTGTAATGCTTTCCAGCCGACAGCCCGTGTTCTGCATCTTCTGCTGCTTGTCTTCTTCAAGAAGTATAGCTGCTTCCTCGATTATGTCTTTAAGCTTACAGACAGACTCATGTGTGATATTGAGCTCTGCCAGTAGTTCGTAGATGTAAGGTCCAGGCTTAGTAAATCCTAGTTCCTTGGACTGAATCGGGATCTCAGATATTCCCTTCTCAAGCTTCAGGAGAAGTGCTACATGATTTTAAAGTTAGCTGGTATTAAGAATTCAATGGAAAAGGCACTGAGTTCTAGTCTCTCGTCAACAATTATATTATGTGAGAAGTGCAGTTCAAAAGCACGATTGTGCCAGATTAAACCGCTTGGGTTGATGTCACAACAATTGTCAACGTGAAAATGATTCACCAATTGTAATAGATAGCTTAAAAAATAAACCAGCAGATGTGCAAAACAAAAATAACCAATAACACTTTAATTGTACAAATCACTATTATTTACTCCAAATTACCTCGAAGTATAGAAAAATTATCTGGATTCCCTGATTTGTCATTTGATTCTTCTCTTCTCTTTATGGAAAGATCAATACAGCTTTTGGCTTCAGAAATACAAGCTGTCAGCATCCAAGAAGTTAAATCAAAAGAGGCTGCATCTGCACATATGCTTTCCTGCAAGACAATTATACTGCTTCAGTGGCTAATCATATATTCCTCCGTGATACATGGAACAAACACATGATTTGTAATCTTATTAAGGCTTGGACAAAGTAATACAAAAAGATAGTACAAGCAAAAAAAGACTAAGAACGTAGTATCGCTGTTCTGAAGTTAAAAGCTGCTTACTAAGTTGTGAGCTTCGTCAAATATGAGTATGCTGTCTTTCCAATCAAGGACAAGAGATTTTCTATATCCACGATCAATGAGATAGTTATATGGAGCAAACATTATATCAACAGCCTTGTGAAGCTCCCGCGATACATAGTAAGGACATCTAAGAGAAAAAAACATCCAAATAGCATTACACAAGCGCCATTAGCAATTTCACCAAACCAACTCTAATATAACTTAACAGACGGGCATGAAAGCAAAAACGTATTAGATGAAAAAGGACCTACGGCCCAAAACTCTTTCCAATATTGACCAGATCTTCAATGTCGATAGGCTCATCTCCAAGATGTGGATTATCCTTCACATAGCCTACAACATAATTGAAGTATGCAGAAATAAGTTTTTTCCAATTGTTAATACTATTATAGATAGCAAATACCTAGTGATTGTAAGAAACATTTAAGAAACTTGGCAAGTAATAATTCAAAGATTCTTAGTATCATCACTACAATTTTTCAACAAGATAGTTAAGAAAACCAAAGCTATTATCCTAGAGTTTAAATATCCTTTATGCTTAGATTCTCAATGTACTTGCCAGCCTTTTCTCTTTCTTTATCTTTTGGATTAGGAAAAAGGATATTTTCAAAATTTAAGTGATTCAGATGTGCAGCTTTTCTTTTTCTTTTTCTTTTTTCAAAAAGCAGCATATAGCATAAAATGGCCACAGATTTTTCAAACAGAAAATCTAGATTTTGGTTCCAAAGAATCGGTAAGACCAATATCAGATACTATGACTTGAATTTGACAAGACCAAAACCAATTTTGCCTATTGCAAAAGATGTTTTAGACTGTAAGCTTCCGTCCTGATCATTTTTTAATACGATCATTATGAATCCCCTCATGCTAGTTCTCTGCACTCTACGAAAGTTAGATACCATGACAATTTCAAGAAGTTTAATCATGTATCTGGGAGGACAAAGTACAAAAGGCAATGCAGATGCAATATATCGATAGAGAATAACCAGAAACACGCGTAAAATGGTTGCAATGACGATTTCCACGTTTTCGGCAAAGTGATCGGCAAGCATTGTTTTGTGTTCTCCCACGGAGTAAACTCACTTCATCATGAATGCATAATTGCTCTCGAGATCCTAGAACTACCATCTTGGGCCTGCATGTATTCAAATTTCAAGAAGCTTCAAAAGTCATTCAGAAAATACAGCGTAACAATTTTTCACCAACATAGTCAGCTTCCTCTGCAGAAAACTAATATGAACAGAATAACATGTAAATCTCACTAAATCCAAAAACTTCCACGATCAAAATGTGAATCCATAATAAACAGGTCAAACCCTCCAACATTCATGTCCTTGCTCCGTAAGTATGAACTCTGACCAATAGGCTATGCAGTAACTCGGTCATTAGATATATCACTTGGCAAGTAATAAACAGCAGTTCATGGTCAACTTCTTATAAAAAATTCCCTAAATGGTCATGTGCACTATGCTTGAAAGTGGTTGCAGACAAAATAAAATTTCATTGAAAAATTAAGTTGAACAATTCTTTAACAGGAATAAGAAATAAATCACGCTTCCTAAATATGGGAATTAACTTTAACCTGTAAGAGGTTTTCTTCAACTCTTGAATAACTTGCCGGAGTTGGCTGTGAGTGCGGGTCGTGTACACAATGGTTGGAGGTCTTGTTGAAGTAGACTGTGATGATGAAACATTCATACCACCCTCAGTATTTTGGCTGTTCCATACACTCCGACCAGATGAGAAGTCACCCAAACTCTTCCTCCAGGCCAATGTAGCACAGAGTAGGCAAAGTGTTTTCCCAGTTCCAGTTGGACTCTCTAAAAGTGCATTACATTTCTGTCAAATAACAGTTCGATCAGGAGTGTCTTCAACGATTAAAACCCTTTCTATAGGAAGTGGCCTATAAAATGCCACACTTATATTCAGTAACTAATGAATGGCAATAAATATCAATAATTCAAAGAAATTTCAAAGCAGGCCAGAGAGGGATTCAAGAATGCAACAGAATGAACAACTACCAAAATGCAAGCTGAAGAAGAGGTGGAGGATGGACAACAAGCTATAAGGGATTTGGAGGATATTTGAAATTTCATAGATTTTATGGGACTGCTTAGATAGTTTTCTCATATATCATTGAAAAGAGTTTGTTACTTACGAAAAAACGCCGAGAAAGTTGAATTGAGCAAAGAAAATCGATGCAATGTACCACTGAATATTATCCAATGCTATAATTTTCACCAAAATACTGAAAACACACATATGGGTGAACGGTTTCTTTTGGTAGTTTTGATCATTTGCTTAGTAGTTCACTGTAACTAGAGCAAATAAGTGATCAAGAAACGCTCCATGTGAATTTTTCGGAGGAAGATCAATGAAACTATAAGATAATGCCATGTGGAATCTTACCCCCTGGAGAGATTGAATAACTTTTTCCATGTAAACGAGCTGGCAATCGTAGGCATCAAACGGGAAGTCGACATCGATACCTCTGATTTTGTATCTCGGCATTTCTTTCCGTTGTTCTTTCTCTTGAGATTGCCGGGAAAATCTGGTGTTGATCTTCTTCAATCGAATTATGAATATGATAACCTAGACGAATTTGCTCATCGACTCCCATCACCCTTTCCCGCCAAAATGACCTACGTTTCGAAACGACGTCGTTTCTGTGAGCGAGGGAATGAATTTTGATAATATAATATTTTAGTTATGAGATTCTTAATCAATTTTACTTCCTCTCTACCGCCAAAAAAAATATATATATATACTTTTAAATGGGAAATAAATTAATTAAAATTTTAATTTAATAAATTATTTTAAATTTATGATTCAACATAATAACTTATCACATGCAACATACTTTCCAGTATAATATACCGATTTATACTAATAATAATAAAATGTTATTTAGCGATCTAAAAAATATATAAATAATAAGCTTTGGTCGTAACTTAATAATTATATTTTCATATATAAATTAATTTGGTATTTATACTAGTAATATTTAAATGTAAATAATATATAAAAAAATCTATAAATAATAAGTTTGGTCGTAAATTAATAATTATATTTTCAGATATAAATTAATTTGGTTTTTATACTTTTATAAATTATACAAATAATAATAATAATAAAAAAGAATAAAATAATGTTGAGGCATCTGCAGCCTGCTGGGCCCAAGAATGTCTTCAAGTGCGGAGCCCGGCCCAGCCCAGCGTACAACAGACGAGGAATCTGAAAGGCACAGTGCGTCTAGAACTTTCTAGAATTTTAATATCGCTCTAGACGATTCTAGGACCTCGACCGTTCCAATTCTAAGGGCTGCACATTGAATCAATGAATAATTAAAAATAAATAAATAAAATAAAATAAAATTGAGAAAGCATAATATAAAATAAAAAAAGAATATTAAAAGTAAACTTCAAAATCCCACCGAAAGCCCTCAAGAGTGGTACGTTGCCCTTTCGTTTATAAGTTCTCTCCTGGCACCTCGCGCGACTTGTCTTCGTGTGTAAGCGCGGTCTTGTGGAGACTTCCAGAACCCAAGAATTCAATCTGTGATCTTTTCCTTGGATCACTTTGAAGGTTTGTTTCCGTACGCTGATATTGTATCTGATTCAGGGTTTCTTGATTTATCGAGCTGTAGATCTGACACTTTCGCTTCGTCGATTCGGGCATTTTGGAGTTGTTTGCGTTTTTTTTGGTTTGTGTAGTTTAGATTCGATGTGTTGTTCTTTCATATGAATTGTGCTTGTATTACCGTTTTGCGGAAATGGATTTGTTGCTTCACTTTTTATTGATGTTATTAGCTTTAATTACTGGTTGTAGCATCTCGACCTAGTTTGATATGTTACTTATTGGTGGTTATTTCATGTATTTAATGTGTTGTGTAGTTTCGTTGTTTGATCCGTCTCTCGAAATGTTGGCCACATACTGGCGTGATAGTAAGTCTTTAGGTGTATACGGACTCGAGTTATACGATGAAATGAACGGATTGCTCTAGTTGGATCGTGGCTGTAGTGCTTCTTGTTTCATTAATTTGTTTGAATTTTATTTGAACGAGTTTGTCCTATCCAATGTGCAAGATGGCGTACTGATTTGCTACTACTATAGTTCCTGCGAACAAGTTACACTAAAATATGCACGATAATAATACTCGTTATAATGATCACTGGTACGGTGTTTCTTAAGGAAGAACGATTGCAAATATTCTTCTTGATAATAACAACATTCATTAATATTTTCAGGTTCTATTTTTTTCTTGACAGACTGACTGTTTTTGACACATCGGTTCAATCTCTTGCAAGATGAGCGTTGTTGGTTTTGATTTTGGTAACGAGAGCTGCATTGTAGCTGTTGCAAGGCAGCGAGGTATTGATGTTGTTCTCAATGATGAATCCAAGCGGGAAACTCCAGGTATTGTCAGCTTTGGGGACAAGCAGCGCTTTATTGGGACAGCTGGGGCAGCGTCCATTATGATGAACATCAAGAATTCAATCTCTCAGATTAAGAGATTGATTGGGCGGAAATTCTCTGATCCTGGATTGCAGAAGGATCTTCAGTCATTGCCATTTTCTGTAGTAGAAGGGCCTGATGGATTTCCTTTAGTTAACGTGCGCTACCTGGGTGAAGTAAAAACGTTTACCCCAACTCAGGTGTTGGGGATGCTATTTTCAAATCTTAAAGGTATTGCTGAGAAAAATCTCAACTCAGCAGTGGCTGACTGCTGCATTGGAATCCCAGTTTATTTCACTGATCTTCAGAGAAGGGCTGTATTGGATGCAGCTACAATTGCTGGGTTGCATCCCCTTCGATTGATACACGAAATGACTGCAACAGCCTTGGCTTATGGTATATATAAAACTGATTTGCCTGAAAATGACCAGTTGAATGTGGCATTTGTTGATATTGGACATGCAAGCATGCAAGTGTGCATTGCAGGCTTTAAGAAGGGGCAGTTGAAAGTGTTGGCCCATTCATCTGATCAGTCTCTTGGTGGCAGAGATTTTGATGAGGTATTATTTCATCACTTTGCAGAAAAGTTCAAGGATGAGTACAAAATAAATGTTTATCAGAATGCAAGGGCTTGTCTTAGGCTCCGAACTGCGTGTGAGAAGCTTAAGAAAGTTCTTAGTGCAAACCCTGTGTCACCTTTGAACATAGAATGTTTGATGGATGAGAAGGATGTGAGAGGAATCATTAAGCGGGAGGAATTTGAACAAATAAGCATTCCTATATTAGAACGTGTGAAAGGACCTTTGGAGCAAGCTCTTGCAGAAGCTGGTCTTACCATTGATAATATTCACATAGTTGAAGTTGTTGGTTCAGGTTCTCGTGTGCCAGCAATAATTAAAATATTGACCGACTTCTTCAAGAAGGAGCCTAGGCGTACTATGAATGCAAGTGAGTGTGTTGCTAGAGGTTGTGCCCTTCAGTGTGCAATCCTGAGTCCCACATTTAAAGTGCGAGAATTTCAGGTAAGAACACAGATTGGACCACAATCGAACTTTTCCATTAGAACTCTCCTCTTACTCAAAATGCTCTTAGTCTTACATTTGAGTACAAAGATTTATTTTACTCCCACTGTGCATCTTCATTTCGTGTGAAGTCAGCAAAAAACACTTAGTTGGAGGCCTTTCTTCTTTTTTTTTTTTTTTTTTTTTTTTTTTTTTTTTTTTTTTTTTTTTT